ATCTGTATTAGTGCCGCCATTTTGTTGTCATTATTGCCCATATTTAGTTTTCATCGCTTCTCTAAGTTTCAAGAAATACCGCATTGCTATAGGTTTTATTTATAAAATAAGGTTGGGACTGGCTATCAAATTAAATCATTAGTATCAAAAATACTAGTAATAGCACAACCAGACTACCATCGCTCCACTGACATGGTTCACGCAACCACGATATAATTGTTAACCCGTAACATTTGTCCATGATGACTCAAATATCAGAATATTTGTTGCCAATCAGGTAAAACAACGTTTGTCGGCGTCAAACGAACCATACGAATACACAGATAAACATAACTGACACTTTAACATGCGATCTCTCCTCCTGCATTACTCACAGACGATTTAAGTACCTATTGAACAAGAATAAATGTAGCCGAAACAATCCATTGTAACTGGTCACTGCCCATCTCTAATTCTTATGTGTTGTAAATGGCAGAATTATTAAAAATTTTTAGACGTATTGGTGGTTATGTGTTTTTTCTTTTTTCTACAGGAATTATGCTTCAGAAGATTCTAGCTTTCCAAGCTATAATTCTTGTCATGCTGCTCTGTTTCGTTCGCTTAAGTCTACCAGGATTAAAATGTAAATGGTTTTATTCTATGGACGTTAATTTATAAAAACCGTAAAACTGAAACTTTAATTCACGGTTAAACTATATCTTCGTACAAATGCTCTTCAAAATTCATAACACATGTATGAATATTATTCGGACAATAAATTGGATATATCTGCAATATCTTCGTGTTTTCTAAGAATTACTGAAGCAAAAAGATGAATTAATCCAAAATAAGCAAGAGATTTGTTTGCTTGTTTAAGAGCAAAGTTGCACAATGGGTTATCTTTCCAGGGAAAATCGCAGTTATAACCACAGCTATAATCCGTCAAGTTTATCGAGCGATAGCAATTCAAATACATCTTTATATTTGGTTAATGCAAATATAATTTTTGTTCTTATTGTTTTGTTTTCATTTGAAACTACAAATTACTGAAAGTGAAAAAATATATATATACAAATACATTTGTGTTTGAAAACAAGTTTGGAATGTCTAACTAAAACATTGAATTTTTTTAATGTTTTGTTTTGGTTCTTTCGTTGAAAAGGAGTAGATAATCGCCTTATAGTTTATAAGAGATTATTTATGTATAAGTATATTCCCCCTTTAGTTACATAAATTCAACTGAAACTCTGAGGATACAAGGACACTCTCTTCCAATCAGAATTATGTTTGAAACGACACACTCAAAAGTTTGAATAAAATACGAACTATGTATTTGTTTATTTATTATTAAGCACAAAGCTACGCAATCGTCTGTTTGTACACTGCCCACAGCAGTATCGAAACCAAATTCTTAGCGTTTTAAGCCCTCAGAATTACAGCTTAGCGACTGGGAGTACGAACTACGAAAGAAATGGCATTATGTACAGCTTTTCTTTTGTGACTTTTAGATAAGAAATAATTATGTTTTATGTAGAAAGACAAGTTACAAAACTCATCATTTCAGAATATAATATACGTAGGGTTAATCATACCTTGTAAGATTGGTTTGTATATGTTAATGCACTGGCGTTGTGTTGCCACAGATGCAAGTCGAGGCACCACAGTAATAATATGTTAAACACCTATGCATTTGTTTCACAACGAATTCCTGACAATTCAAAGATGCAATGCTGTCATGAATAAAGTATTGCTAAATGTATGTGTTAAAACCCCTTCTGATAAAGAATATTTGCATAATTTAATTGCTAAACGAACCAGAGCAAAATGGTACAACTTTTGATGCTTAAAATTTAAACTAAAAACTTACACAACAGATCAGAAAAGAAGCAACATCCTCATCCGCAAAGTGAAAGGTTGTGGATATAATCGAGAACCCTCCTAAAACAAATATCATTGTAATGAAGATGGGCGTATCTCAAGATACCTTTAACAAAATTATAAAGTTAACAAAGGCTTACAAGCTTCCAGCCACAGCTCGAAATAAACGGCTGGTTTCACAGGAAAAGTAGATGAAGAACAGAATAACGGTAATGCCATTCAACATTATACCTATTAAGCCTCCCGCTGTAGCTTCAATGGACTTTTGTCTTTTTAGTCTGCTTAATTAAAATTGGTCTTCGCACAATGGACGGTCTGTGGAAAATATTTATCAAAATATGCGGTTTAAGTTTGACATCGCCGTCCTGCTCAGATGCATGTCCCAACAGTTTACAGATTAATTATTAATTAAATATTAATTGTTTAGCCCGAATACGGCGTTAATTATCAGTGATTTCCACACGTATTGAAAAAATTACACAGAAACCCTTATATACTTTACAAATCCTCAAGGACAAACAATTTTAAGTCATTGGATTTTTTTTTAAATATAATTCTGAATATAACGATTAACCACTTCATATCATATTCACTATAAACCTGTTTCTACAATTTGTAAATAACTAAATTGTTATTTCTATGTATACAAGATTTCCATGGAAGGTTGACTGTATTTTTAGTGCTTTTAACCTCTAACCAGTTACGCGTTAGAGTTTATAATAATGTACACAATTGTTATTTCTATGTATACAAGATTTCCATGGAATGTTGACGGTATTTTTAGTGCTTTTAACCTCTAACCAGTTACGCGTTAGAGTTTTTAATAATGTACACAATTGTTATTTCTATGTATACAAGATTTCCATGGAAGGTTGACTGTATTTTTAGTGCTTTTAACCTCTAACCAGTTATGCGTTAGAGTTTTTAATAATGTACACAATTGTTATTTCTATGTATACAAGATTTCCATGGAATGTTGACGGTATTTTTAGTGCTTTTAACCTCTAACCAGTTATGCGTTAGAGTTTTTAATAATGTACA